TGGCACTTCTCGAGTATTTGAGGCTTTCAATGCACTCTATGGAGGTAGGGAAGCATTGAAACCAATCCCTGGTCAACGGTGAATGCCACAGTTTGTCGTTATGTAGCATGCTGGGGCCATTCAAAACTTCAACAGCAGGAACAGAACTTACACCCTCCTACTCTGTCAAAGTACAGGAGTGATCTGCCATATAGGTCAGCTGAGTCATTCTGATTTCATCCACTGGAGGGTATTGGTGCGTGTGACATGCCAATTCACTGCACTACTGCAGAGAAGGCAGCTCCGGTGGTGAGGATGCTCACCTGCAACTTCAGAGCTCCAGGTTCAATTCCCTGCTCCTCCAGAGTGCCTGGGTGACTGGGCCTCAGTTCCCCTTCTGTGCAATGGGGATAACACTGCCCTGACTCACAGGAGTGCGGTGACAACAGCCACCTTAAGGACCGCCAGGCACTCAGATACTATGACAAGTGGGGGGATGAGATAAGCACTAGAACTAGATAGATCCTCCCCGCTTCCTAGCTACAGAAAGTGAACTCTGGGGAGGTTGTGTGAGTCACACAAGCGAGTGAGCAGCAGAGCCAAGAATAAAGCGCCACTTCTCCAGACTCCCAGGCTCTGTTATAGCCACTACACCATGCTTCCACCCGCTAAGAGGAACAGGTGGCTAAGGAGAGGGCAGTATAGCTCAGTGGTTTGAGCATTGGCTTGTTAAACCCAGGGTTGTGAGTTAAATCCCTGAGAGGGCCATTTAGGGATCTGGGGCAAAAATTGGGGATTGGCCCTGCTTTGAGCAGGGGGTTGGACTAGATGACCTCCTGAGGTCCCTTCCAACCCTGATATTCTATGACAGAAAGGGAGTTTGGCTGAGAGAGCAGGAGGAGAGATAGAAGCTCTCTGATGCAGCTGCTCTCTGCATATCTTACATTCCCCAATTCGCCAATGAAAAGGGCTGACTGAGTCCATGACCTGAAACACAAGGCACAAGTCAAGGCACAAATCGGCCCATTGCTTTGGAGGATTGGAGGAAGTTGTCATAGGTGTATATTCCAAATGAGCAACAACAAATATCTAGATACGAATTTCATGAAAGGGCACATGAAAAAAATCCATATCACCATGGCTAGGGGTAAGAATCTGCCCTCTGTTATACGAATCAGACCAGACGACTAATGGTCTCCTGTGTGGAGCAGGGGCATTGTAGACTAGTGGGTAGAGTGGGACCCTGAAAGTTCTGTTCCAGGCCCTGCCACTGACTTGCAGTTTAACCTCAAGCAAGTCACTTAGTCTACCTCTGCCTCAGTTTACCCCTTCTGAAAAGCAAGATAAGTTCATTCATCTTGCTAAAGTGCATTAAGTTCCTTTGCTGAAAGGGGCGATTTAGGTGCAAAATATTATTTTCTCATTCTTACAATTCACACCGGGACACAGCCAGCAAAAAAAACCCTATCAAATAAACAAAGACCCGGGACTTATTGAAAGGGTGCAAGGATGTTAGCACTGAAACTTCCACTTATTGTGTCTTAAAGGAAAGCGCATTAGGGAGGGGGAAGTGGTTTATTATAGCAACATTCTTTTCCCTCTCATCCTCTTCAGCTTCCTGGTCTTTAATAGTGTTTGGGGCCAGAGGCGGAAAAGAGCAGCTCCCAGATAAGACAAGCTTAGCACAGCTCCTGCTGTCTCAGCCAGAGGGGGGCTGTTTTTTGGGGGGGAGGGGCACTCAGCTACTACCTCCAGCCCATGGGATCCGGTTGGAGTCTTGGCTGCACTAATAAGCCATATTTTTCACGTGTATAGCAGAGAAAAGCACTTTACAAAAACTACTAGCTAGATCTTACTGAGTGATTTGGCCTTCTCCACACCATTCTGGCAAAATTCAGCCATCTCTGGGGCAGACTAGAGCGGCGGCCAGCCAGCACATGGTCAAGGGGAGGGCAGTTTTGGAGAAGGAACTCAGAGCAAATCCCCCTGCTCACAGGAGAAGTGCCCTGAGCTATTTATGGACTGCACAAAGCAGATGGGACCTTGATTTTCCATCACTTCTGAAAGTGAACGAATTGTACAGGGGTCCTGGGTGCCTTTCGCAGTCAGCGCCCTCTCGCAGCTGTGCGTGATGCCATGGCAACTGCCTCAGTTTCTCTCCCTCCACCATCAGTCGTTTGGCTCTGTGCAGGGTGGCTTCCTCTTAGGAGTCCAGCTGAGTCGTCTATAGCCTCTCCCCTTGAGGGGCAGTGAACCCTAGCAAAGAAGCAATAATCGCAGCCCCCATAGACTCCAGACCCCTTGGCTCCAGATCCTTTTGCTAGTAGATGGTAGGAGACCCCAGCAAGGCCTGCTCAGTCCTCTGGGATCCAAGGGACCCTTCATTAAGCAGCAGGGACTGGCTCCTCGCAATCCCTTGGTGCTTCCTGGTCCACCGCTCCTGTAACCCTCTTCCAGACTCAGTTTCTGATTCTCTTTCTCTGGAAGTTTGACTTGCGGTCGCTCTTCTGCTGAAGGAGTCTGTGCTTAGCTGAGAGAGCTGGTCTACCTGTTAACCCCTTCGTGGTCATGGCAGCCTGGGGTCTATGCACCCCACGACCCCAGGACTTACTTTCTCCGACTCAGAAGAAGTTACCTTGCTGGGGTTTGAATCACTGAGTCAGAGTATTTGACCTAAGACTTAGCCATTCCCTTAGCCCCCAGGTGGTCACCCACAGAGCAAGCCATCTGCTGAGCACGCAAGCTATCACGAATGGTTGGGTCTGTTAGACGCCAATTTAGAGATGCACCAAGAGCCAAGGAAGATGAAGTTACACCAAGGATTAATGCGGCCTGTTGCCCTTCAGATAACCACTGGCATCATCGCACCAAGCAGCTCAGTTCCTCGTGGCCTCAGTGGAACCCATCAGTCACCCCTTCTGGCAAATAAGCTATCTGCTTTGAAAACCTTTTAGCATCTTCAACCTCCCATTCCAACCATGTGACACTCACGTTTTTGAGTAGCTGGGAATCAATCCAGCAAGAACCACAATGGGACGGAATAGTTATTGAGCCGCAGCTCATCAATACCGAACAAGTTTATCATGATTAGCATCATTAGGAAGAGGAGCTAATCAGGATGAGGTGCTACTTGCCAGGGCTCCAGGCCATTAGATCAGAATTAGTTCATCTTAAACTATTGATAGGTACGTCATATGAACCTGAGTGCTCTTTGGCCAGCTGAGCTATCATAACCTGAGTCAGAATCAAAGTGATGAGGCAGGATAATTAATTAGGCACCTGGATAGGTTTCTTCCCAAACTTCCAGCAGACCCCAAAACTTCTAGATTTTCCGTAACTCCCCTGTGTCAGCCATGTGGCACTACACAGAGTGTACAGTGCTCAAAGGGAGGAGGAACCCTGATCGGGTCAGGAAATAATGTCTCTCGCAGCCGGGCAATGGGGGAGGACAGTGGAGTTAAAGGCATGGATATAGACCCTGCAATCAGATCTGCGAAGGAGGAACTCTGTGCTCATGTAAAGCCCTCTCCATTCAAATGACCCTTCATGTCATCACAATTCTCTGCAGCCACAAAATCATAGACGCGTCAGGCTGGAAGGGACTCCAAGAGGTCATCAAGTCTGGTGCCCTGCACTACGGCAGGACCAAAGAAAGCTAGACCATCCCTGACAGGTGTACTTAAAAATCTCCAGTGATGGGGATTCCACCATCTCCCTTGGAAGCCTGTTCCACAGCTTACCTCCCCTTAGAATTAGAAAGATTTTTCCTAATATCCAACCTAAATCTCTCTTGCTGCAGATTAAGCCCATTACTTCTTGTCCTACCTTCAGTGGACATAGAAAACAATTGACCTCCTTATATCGGCTCTTAACATATCTGAAGACTTTCATCAGGTCCCCCATCAGTCTTCTTTCCACAAGAAGCAACATGCCCAGGTTTTCTAACCTTTCCTCATAGATCTCAGGTTTTCTAACCCGCTGATGATTTCGGTTGCTCTCCTGTGGACTCTCTCCAAGTCGTCCACATCTTTCCTAGAGTGTGGCGCCCAGAATTGGACACAGTCCTGCAGCTGAGGTCTCACCAGTGCTGAGTAGAGCAGGACAATTACCTTCAGTGCCATACATGCAACACGCCCACTAATATACCCTAGAATCATAGAATGTCAGGGATGGAAAGGACCTCAGGAGATCATCTAGTCCAACCCCCTGCTCAAAGCAGGACCACATCAGAATGATACACATCAGCCATTTTTTGCAACTTCATCACACTGTTGATTCATATTCAATTTCTGATCCACTGTAACCCCCAGATCCTTTCTGACAATACTACTACCTAACCATTTATTCCCCATTTTGTAGCTGCACATTTGATTTTTTTCTTCATAAGTGCTTTGCACTCATCTTTCCGTCACCATGGATGGAATCCAACCAGGCGGGCTGACCTAAATTATTATTGTGATAGCACGTAAGGACCCCAGCCAGGGATCAGGGCCCTGTTAAATGAGGCATAGTACAATCAGAGACCCTGTCCCAGGAGGGCTCACAAGCTTAGATATAGACAACAGGTGAATAAAGACATGCAAGCGTGGGCGAGGGCAAGGCAACAGTACAGAGAGGTGTGTTTGCACATATTAGGAGCCAGGGTGGTCTCAGTGGCCACGTGGTCAACAGCCCAACCGATACCACGAGGTATTTCTGGGTGCTGTGGCAGAGGCAGGGTTTAAGGAATGACTTAAAAAGAAGATCAGGTGGTGGTTTTGTGAATTTTGATGGGGAGTTCTTCCTAAGCATAAGGGAGAAAGCATGGAGGTGCTCGTGGGAAAGAGTGGAGAAGAGGGTGATCAAGGCAGATACTGCTGGCAGTACGTCAATGTGAAAATAACAGAATGGGAACGAAGGGCAGGGTTCAATGGCAAAGGGCCATTAAGATGAGGACAAGGACTTTGGTGGGGAACAGGTCTTGTGTTCTCTCTCTGCAGAGAGGTGAATTTCACCCCCACGTGAAGTAGGCAACTTCTTACCAAAGGCTCCAGCTCCCGGTGGTCAATGAGGCTGAACTCTCTGCTGAAGTAGTAAAAGTGCTTGTAGCAGGTGTTGACATGGGCCTCGGCACCCATGCTGATGATACTATCGAAGTGATGGATGTAGACATGGACGAAGACTCGGAAAAGGCGGGTGAGGATCTTGGTACACACCTGCTGGAAATTCTTGGGGAAGGGGACTCCTGCAAGGCAGAAGCAAAAGCCATTTTCAGCATTTAAGCATTTGACAATTTCCAAACAAGTAACATTTAAAAGGCTTGGTACATCATCACTGTAACAATATGGAGGATTCCACCTCACTATTTATTACACTGACGATCATCATTTTACTGTTTCCTGGCACTTCTCCCATCTGCTTGTAGTGTCCAACTGTTGTCTCTCATCTTACCATTAAGCACGTTTGTGAGTCTTTACAAGAACAGGTTTCAGAGTAGCAGCCGTGTTAGTCTGTATTCGCAAAGAGAAAAGGAGTACTTGTGGCACCTTAGAGACTAACAAATTTATCTGAGCATAAGCTCACGAGTACTCCTTTTCTCTTTACAAGAACAGGGTCTAGTTTTATGCACTGTGAGTATCTCCACTAAAGTCACTGGAAAGAGCTGCAGTGGGTTTTGGATCTGGATCACAGTTCAGAACTGTTCAAGAAACAGAATATTTCTTTTCTGGGAAGTTTTGAAATGACTGTCCATTCTCATTGAGAATTAAATGTCAAAGAAGCCAAAAATTTTGCTACGTGAAAAAAGACCAAAAAAGTGTTTTTAATTGGAAAGATCAACATGGGAAATTACCACATTTCAGACGCAAACAAAAATTTTACAAAATGTCAACGTGAAATGTTTTGGTTTAGTTTTGAAGCGGCGGCCATTCAAAATGCAGGTTTTTGTTTTGATTCTCCCAACTGGGGAAATTTCATCCAATCAACACCTTTCCGGCAGAAAATTCCAATCTTGGCAAAGCCACGTTTTCCAGTGGAAAAACTTTTCAGTTAAAATAATTCCGCCAGCTCTACCCATTGGGCATAAAGTTAAGCATGCGCTTAAGTGTTTGCAGGATCGGGGGCTTAGCCTGTAATTTCTTTAGCCCGGTGGCTGTCTTTTCACAGAAGGGGTGCACGATATCTAGCACAATGGAACCTTGAGCCCTGATCGGACCCCACAGGTGCTACAAATAATTATCAGTAACAATAACAACCATCAAAGCTCTTAATAGACATTAGCTAATGAACCCTCCCAAATTCCTGTGACACGGGCATGCATTATTAAAGCTGGTTGAATGCTTTAAAATGACAATATTTTGTTGCACGGCCACCTTATCACCAAAAATTGAAAACACGCCTGTCTTTTGACTATTTACATTATTAGCTCTTTCGGTCAGGGGCTGTGTCTCCCCTGCAGCCGGGAGCACGCTTCGCAGCGCGGGTACACAGACACACGCTAGCGCTGCTCAAGCTAGCATAACCAAATTGCAGCGTAGTCCGGGGTAGCACAGGAGTGGTTCAGGCTAGCCACCCGAATACGCACGCAGAGGTTCCAGGCAGGTTTGTACTCAGGTGATTAGCTCAAGCCACCACCCACGCTACCCTGGCTACGTGGCTCTTTTTAGCATGCTAGCTTGAGCCGAGCTCGTGCATGTCTGTCTACCTGCGCTGAGCAGCACGCTCCCAGCTGCAGCATAGATGTCCGTGCAGCACAATGGGGCCCTGATCTCAGCTGGGGCCTCTAGGTACCAGGGGAATACAAATAATAATGCCTCCACGGGCATACAGACACTGTTCTTATGTTTCCTTGATGGAGATATAACACCTGCGAACACCGGCAGGTGCCCTATCCAGCTATTCCTCCCAAATGCACCTTGCCCGGATGGGGTGCTAACTCCAGGAGTCTGGCTGCCCATGCACAGTGGGCTGGGAGAAAGCATCCCACTTCCCCCACCATACAAGCCTGCAGAGACACAGCTAGACTCAAGCTCAGAGAAGATTCATCTAAACTTAGAATCATAGAATCATAGAATATAAGGGTTGGAAGGGACCCCAGAAGGTCATCTAGTCCAACCCCCTGCTCAAAGCAGGACCAATTCCCAGTTAAATCATCCCAGCCAGGGCTTTGTCAAGCCTGACCTTAAAAACCTCAAAACCTCAAAACCTAAAAACCTTAAAAACCTTAAAAACTTGTCCGAGCCGAGCCAGCAAGTCAGTGGCCGTCGTGGATTTATGCCACAGAAGTTCCTGGATTCTGGTGCTACGTTTAGTCTGTCAGATTTTGCCAGGCCTTTGCCAGTTTCAATGGAAGTTACATGGGAACACGGAGAAGAGGATCTGGAGCAGCAGCTGCTTCGCAGAATGGAAATCTCAAGGTGGCAGGTTTGCAGATGGGCGGTACAACTAAAGCCATTCCAGTTCCAGCCACAGCCCCCTCTCCTTATTATGTATATTTAGCCATGTCTGAAAACAAGCTCCATACCAAACATTGATCTGTCTAACCAGGCTTTATAAGATATATGCATCAGAGCCCCATTAACGGAGCTCTTTCACCTCCGTTCACTATTAGGCACCACTTTCAAAGACTAGCTGAGGAAGCGTCAGCAGCCATGCATTGGTTTTCTGCACCATGCTTTCAAGTGGGCTATGCTGGGTCCCCCCCCTTTGAAGTCATGCCTCCCTGGAAACGTAGGAAGAGGCTGTTTAATCACTGAAGCTGCCCAGCCTAATGACGCACAGATTAGCATTTAAAGACATCTCAGCGGAGTTGCATCTGCACAATGCAGCTTCTTCTGATGATTTTCCGATGAACCCCTGGCGCGCCGATGAAGATGAGCGAGCATGTGTTAATTACAGCCACGTTCACCACAGTCCAGCTGCGCTCTGTGTATTAGTGCATAAAGCACTACTATTTAACCATGGGAAAAGTGTCAGGGCTGGATCTCGGTGAGTCCAATGACCACGGTAGGCCCAAGCCATGAAGTTTGGACCTGGATGCAGAGTTCAAGGGGGTTTGGTCTGGGTTTCGTTTTGACCGGCTTTCGCAGCCAAAGAGTGCTAGATAGAGGAAATGGGACTAGGCAGTGTTAAATAGGGACCAGCTGAAAAATTTGGCTCCATCTGAAGATTAGAGGAGGTGTTTTGTAAATCCAGATCTACACTTTCTCTCTGACCTACAACTCAACCTCCTCTCAGAGGCTCAGGGGACCTAGTGAATTTCACCTACAGGATTCCGGGTCAAATCCAGCCTAGCTTGGTAGTTGCTAAATGTTTACCAGGTGGTGGTAAAGCAGGTTGGCTGATCTCAGCCTTGTTCCCACCTGACAAGTGTCTGCCTCCCTCAAAGATACCATCGCAAGTCTCGGAAGAGGAGGACATGGATAGACATTTTCCCCCAACTGGAATTTTTCAAAAATTCTGTTTGGTGGGAAGTTGTGAAAATATTTGTTGGGGAATGAAAACAAATTTTGAAATGGCAAAATGTCCCATGAAATGGAAATCTTGAGTTTTAACCAGGTCTGCTCACAATAATCTCTGCTTCACTGTAGCTATTACAGGCGCTGGGGTCTGTGACAGCCACTTGTACATCTCTTTCCACACTAAAATCACTGTTCTCTTTTTTTAAGCAGTTTCCTAAGACTTGATAGAGCATTAGGCAAGTTCTTCATAAAGGAATTCTTAAGCTCTGTTTTCAAGCAGCACTGACTGCTTGCTCTCCTCCTGGGCAACTGCTGGGTTCTTCAGCAAGAGAGATTTAAAAAAAGACAAAAGATGTTTCCATAATCCTCCATTCACAAAAGTCAGCACTTCAAAGGCCAAAACTCAGAGTGCGGCCAATGCCACCACTGGGCTAAATCCGAGATGTACTTAAGAGGAGAGACGCAGACTACAGCCTGTTTCCAAAAACATAGTTACCCCTAAGCTCTGAAAACTATTGGAAACATGATGACAAAGCACAACACATCAGGGGTTCCCCTTCGCATACATTGATTTAAAAAGCTGCATAGATTTCATGTTATTTATAGATCCAACGACCAGATTCTGCTTTCACTTATGTGGGAGAGACTCCGCTGGGTTTAATGGAATTACACCCGATTTTCACAGATACCAGGCTAAATTCTGCTCTGTTTTCTTCAACTAAAACACACTCAGCCCTCTGGTTTGTTGTTTGTTTTTTACCCTTTTGCTATGAGACAGGATTTCCACAGCTGATTATCAATAAGAAAAGGTGCGGTTAGGATTTTGCATCAAGTCTTTTATTGCTTTCGTGGAAGGAGGGTGAACCATGAATACCTGAGAAAACGAACCTATCGTGTGGACAGTAAAGGGTTAAATTGACTGTAGAGGATAATAGGACTGGCCTGTGGTTAAGGTCCCGGATGGGAACTCCAGAGCTTTGGGTTCTGTTCCTGGCTCGGTCACAGACTGTGTGTAAACAGCAGCAGGTCCCTTCATCTTTCCATTCCCCCAGCTGTAAAACGGGGCTAAGAATCCTGCCTTACTGAGCGTGTAAGATCTTTGGGGCAGGGACTGTCCCTCACTATGTGTTTGTACAGTCCCTAGCACAGTGAGGCCCCGATTTTGCCTGGAGACTGAGGCGCTAATAATGTAGCTGAGATATATGAAATTCTGCCTCTAAGGAAACCAAACCAAACCTCGAGGTCTATTTCACAATAATACAAACCTTGCACTGGGGACAACAGGATCTGGTCAGAGTCAAAAAAACAACTCAGTGAAGGTATCAGGATCTGGCCCATTATTCATTTGGTGGTTAAGGAGCCAGATCAAAGGCATTAGTTTCCATCTTTAGTTCTTTAAAGGGAAGATGTGGCTAGGGCCAGGTCCTGCCCCAGGCTAGCAATCTGTATGTGTTGCTAGGAGTCTGTTCTCTTTGTCCTGCATCTTTAACTGTCAAGACAGGGCCCCTCTGCCTGTCTGTTGGGGGACAAGGCTGTGAGGTGATTCCATGGGATGAGCAATTTTGCCCTCTATAATAGCAAAGCAAGCAAGCAGCTTGTTCAGTTTCCCCGCAGCCTGGAGGGTCTAGGTTAACTGGGGCTCTCTTTGGGCCTGATCCAAAGCCCACTGCAGGCTGCTGGAGTCTTCCACTGACTTCAGCAGGCTTTGGATCAAGCTCTTGATTGGATCGAGTAAAAACCCTAAATATTTGAGATCAGCAGCTCACCTGGAGATGGAGCTGCTGTT